AACAACAATCCCATCTACACCACCCCTGCCACCTCCACTCCCAACAACCCCATCTACACTACCCCCGCCGCCCCCACTCCCAACAACAACCCCATCTACACCACCCCTGCCACCACCACTCCCAACAACAACCCCATCTACACCGCCTCTGCCACCCCCACTCCCAACAACAACCCTGTCTACACCACCCCTACCACCTCCACTCCCAACAACAATCCCATCTACACCACCCCTGCCAATACAACCCAGACGACAATATCAAAACGCAAACCGCTGTGATTGTTCTGTACAACAAGAAAATAAACACTTTTGAATGAAATGAAACTGAATAAGTCTTTTTATTTAATATATGACTGTTCTTATGTACACTTTAGAGTTCCTAAGCAAAAAGAATCAGCAATGAGAAATTTGCAAGTACATCTCCCAACAGCCAGGGGTCGCTTCTGTTGTTGGCTTTGATGTTTCACCTGACTTCGTTAGGTAATTCATATTTTCCCATATGATTTATAAAATGCATATTTGTAGCATATCATTTTTTTTTGTTATTCAAGGAGACAATAGTACACAGGAAAGGACGACGACAAAGTGGCCACCTTCCCCAGTTGTGTTCGACTTATATTCTAGCCGCTACTTGTACATTGAAAATAAAATGTTTGACTAGTCACTAAAAACTATACACATGCAATAGCTTTGGGAAACGTGAGTCCAAACTCCTCCCCCAGTGGTAGAATGTATAAAGAACATGGAAAACTAAAAACGTTTTGTAGCCTGTGTGGCTAACATGATTTTGCAGTTTGTGAATTTGATGAATTGAGACAGAAGAAAAGGTCATAAGGTGATACCTGGCTATTTATCGTCGAGAAAGTATTGATTTGTAGTTTGACAGAAAAAGGCACGTTGTTGCCATGTTTTATTCTTCTGGGGAAGCAAGCACGCACGCACGCACGTATGTAGTAGGTTCCGCATTTACACGAATAGAAATAGAAAGAGGAGAATTGAAAAGTCAAAAACAGAAAAAAAGCTGATTCAGGATAATGTATAGCTTGTACTATAGTAGTCTGTATCTTGTCCCTTAAAATACATTTTCACACATAGGAGACCATAGCCTTTAGATCGACTCTCAACCTTCCCCAGACCATGGTTAGGAGTTGGTTGAGAGCAAAGTCTACTGTGGTTGGCGGTTGGTCTGTGAGTTAGGCTACTTATCGGCACCTGCGCAAGCTGAATGTTTCAAAATGTGTAAAACATCGGGAGTGATTTGGTTATGAAACCGTTGAGAAAAGCTTGGGGATAATTTAGCTGTGGTCGTGGCGTGCTAAGAAGCCACTGTTGAGGAGGGAGTTAAATGTCTGTGGCTAGAATACGGGATTGTTGAAAGTGGTAGGAAGTAGGTCCGAAATAGCCTCTACCAGGCACCACGAATCGCTGGAACAATAGTAAAAATAGGCCGAAATAAAGGGATAGTATTCCAGAGAAGATCCCGGGCTATAGAAGATCCAATTTGCGACCCACGTCAATCCATTTAAGCCCTCTAAGTTATCGTGTTTACTCACACACACACACACACACACACACACACACACACACACACACACACACACACATATATACACACACAGCACACACACACACACACACACACACAGACGCACAAAAGAACGCCTCTGAAAACATAACCTTCTGGGTCGCGAATTGGATCTTCTGTGGCAAGGGGTCTTCTTTGCCAAAATCTACTATTTTTCCAGCGATCCGCGGAGCCTGGTAGAGGTTACGTCCGAAATCCTTTGAGATCGGTAGCGGTTAAATCTTGTACTGGTTGTGAAACAGTTGTGCCATAATCGCCGCGAAAGAGGCGTGGCCTAAAACTTGTCAGATTGCTCCGAACCTACCGCGAACAAGCCGAGGTCAGGGAAAGGTCATGCCTGTGTGACAGGGAATTACACGGAGAATGGCCTATATTGTATATGGTAGTGTGTTTCTTCTCACTAACAATGGTCAGCCTTCAGGACGGTACTTTTATATATTGCCATAGGAACACATGCTTAAATACACTGAAATAAATTTTTTCTGCACCAGGCAGCCACAATGGTCTGCTTCCCAAATACAGAAAGTAAACAGGGGGTCTACTTGGTCAAATTCCCGCCACAGCTGATGATAGTAAACAAAACCTTGGCAAAACCTACTTTTGACCTAATTTTCTGATGTATCCATCCGCCCTGGGCAGGCCAGACCTCATCACTCATTATGCCCTCATTATGCCCACTAAACTGGTGAAATGAACCAAATTTGACCAAAGTAGGAAAATTTACACGCTATCTGTTCCTCCTAGCCAAAAAATCTCCAAGCTGGACCAAAATTTTCAAGAGAAAAAAGGATTTTCAAAGATATTAACTAGGAACTACAATTTTTTGGGCCTCTACTGCGCAACGCATTTGTGGTGTCTGTCCTTCAGACCATGTTTGTCTTCAGCCCATGTTTTGTAATTTCGGCACTGCAACTCATCGATCACACTTCGTCTGGTAAGCCAATGGTTCAATATAAAATAGTTTTTCTAGAAGTTCTGGATTGAGGAATTATAAGTTAACCCTTGGGTATTTGAGAACAGAGCTCTATGTACATGTACTGTACATGTGCGAGAATCGTAGCAACATGTTTGTCGAAGTCATAAATCATGTAAAAAGATTAGTCTCCACCAGACTTCTTTTGCGAGGTGAATAAATCGACGAAATCGGTCTAAAAAGGGTATTAATTGGCCAGAGAAGCTCCATTTGCCCGCCGAGAAATGGGGGAATGGAGCTTCTCTGGCCGGCTACCTTCCCTGGCCAATTGATACCCTTTTTAGGCCGATTTCTTCGATTTATTCACCCCACAAAAGACGTCTGGTGGAGACTATAAAAAGATAGCTTAGAAGCATAGTGGTACGGTGCAATATTATGTACAGGGCATGGATAGTAGGAGTAAATACTGATGCGATATCCAATGTTTTCGTTAGAAGTCAAACCGTCATGGTGTGGTATTTGGGGGGAGGGGGCAGCACACGTGTAGAGTAGAACGGTTGGGGTGGCACCGGACAGCAACGATATATCGGGCTGCAAAACCGCATCATGACAGTGACTACTGTCATTTCACGCGGGGAAACATTTGTACAACATACAGTATTACACGAGTGATTCAGACAACGTGACAAATAATGTCTCAGGAGATTTAGATTCACTTGGATGTAAGGAATAAGATGACACACCGGGGGTCTCATTTTTTTAACGGTTTCGCTCAATGCAAGGCCAATTATTTTTGGCCACTTCTAGGCATAGAGCTAGAGGTACGTAAGTGAGTATAATGTAGTTATGTCAGGAGATGGCGGTGGACCTTTGTTTTGAAGCTTTGTGGATTGTAATCGGACGGAAAGCAGCTGTTTGGAAGAGAGTTCCATAATTTTGCAGTCCGGGGAAAGAAGCTGTTGTTGTAAAATGACTTGGAAACAGGTATGTTGACGATGTATTGGTGAGAACTGGAAGAGAACCTAGTGGCACGCTGAAAGGTTCTGAGCGGCGGAACAAGAAGTGCAAGTTCTCCTGAACATCGACCGTGAAAATATCTGTAGAAAATGGACAGGGATGCGACATTGCGTCTGTGTGAGAGGGAAGGTAGCTGAAAGTAGGCATGGCACACCAAATTTAATTTCGTTGGTAGTTTGCGAACGGCGACATGTTAAAGCCGGTTTAAAGACTGTTACTGCTTTGCTCGCCCCCATGTTCCAATGCGGAAACGGGCCTACTAAAAGGCCACTTCGTTAGAGGTTCTAACACTCATATTTTTTTTTCCTTTTTGTAAAGCTTTACTTCTTATGTATGATACTATGTGGTAGACGTGTGACTGCTTGATGCAGGTCGTATATTTCTGGACACGAGCCGCTGGTACGGAGTGACCCTCTTCAGCGCCATCATTATTCAGTATGGGGGAAATTCTGTTTTTTTGGCAACGACTTTTCCTTTCTTTATACCATTGAGTTGATGGAAAATTTTGAATTGTTTCGAATAGAGGTGTGCTATCCTTGATTGCATATATCGTGCAAATGGAGTCATAATTGATTGTCAAGAACACCACTGATGTCTTCTTTTCCACCCACAGTTTGACACCACTCTACATCATGGGACTCACGGAGCTTGCTCAGGCCGGAGAAGGGGTCTTTTTCGCCCTCATAGCCGCCGTCGGGTTCTCGGTGTTCCCGGTCCTCGCCAGGATGGCGGCTAACGCAGGGGTTCCTGACTTCCAGGTCGTCCTCGTGAACGAACTCACCAACGCCGCGGTCTTTTTACCTTCACTGCTCATCTGTAGAGCGCCGCTGACGGGTCAGAATAGCAAACAGACGCTGGGTTTTATCTGTACGGGCGTGTCGAGGGTCTGTTCTACAACCATGACGGTTCTGTCGGGCTTGTACATCCATCCTGCAGCCACGCTGACCATCAGTAACGGCAGCAGCCCGCTCTTCGCCGTTGTTCTGTCCAGGTTGGTGCTGAAGGAGCGCGCAGGCTGGGTGAACATCGCCGGCGTGGCGGTGCAGGTAGCCGCGGTCGGACTCGTGGCATGGGGGACCCACCTGCGAACAACTGAGCATTGGAACGTAACCACAAACATCACAACGACAACAATGGCCACAAACATCACAACAACAACAATGGCCACAAACATCACAACAACAACAATGGCCACAAACATCACAACAACAACAATGGCCACAAACATCACAACGACAACAATGGCCACAAACATCACAACAACAACAATGGCCACAAACATCACAACAACAACAATGGCCACAAACATCACAACAACAATGACTATGGCACCATCCGAAACAGCGCTACTCATGACTACATCATCGGCGTTGTACTAGGCCTTGTCGGGACACTGGGACTGAGTACAACCAACGTTCTTATCAGAAAGTTTCTTATGAAAGTTTCCCAGCTCACTGTCCTGGCTTACGTTGAAAGCCTGGGTTTTCTACTGGTATTCCCAGCAATGTACATAATCAACACACCGAAGTGGGACGTGGAAATTTATATCGTTTGCATATTGTTAGGCCAGGGTATAACGTACACCGTCTCCATCGCTTGTTTGTATCGGAGTTTGAAGCTCCAGAAGGCCAGCACGGTGGAAATTTTACGGGGCTTGTCAGTCGCTTTAGCTTACGTTTTTCAGTACTTGATACTTGGTGTTGTCGCACTATTGGTAGAGTATGTCGGTGCGATGATTATTATTGTATCTATTGTCATTGTTGCTGGGTATAAGTGGTATAAGGCCTGCAAAACAGATACCTATGATGTTGAAACACAAACGACGAGTATCTATACTGTAAGCGCCACGGTTAGTCAGGGAGTACAAAATCCAGGTGTACGCTGACCATACCCTGTGTGCCCTGTGATACATGTCTTTTTTAAGTTCTTTTTTTTATTCATTTTCATAATAACAACAACAATTATAATAATCATGGCACGACAAATAAAGATTACTGATGAACATGTGAAACCACAAAATTAATACATAAAACTGGGAACAATATTGAACGTAACATATCGTGAGAAATTAATGAGAATCCCCAATGTACAAAATAAACAATGACTGAAAGAACTTAAATCGAAATAATATGTAGTTTCCCCAACTTCTCAATATGTTTAGGCATTTTATCTAGTCTTTGTGCAATGATACATTCTAATCTTTGAAAATAGGAGACATAAGAGATAGAACCAGGTAATTCTAATTTCCTATGGTGATAGCTGAAAATATAAATTTTACCAGGAAGAATAATGAGGTTTGATAGAGCTGGGCAACGATCACTCAAATCGCCAAAGATAATGCTTTCATTTGCAAATGATTAGTGATGCCTACTCTTCAGTGATGCCTGTCTTTCAAACGAAATATCGATGTGGAAAAGCCAATTGGATGTCTTATTTAAAGTTAAAACTTTTGGTCCAACACAAAAAAAAATTCTCTCACCTAGAGCTTTCGACCAGTCACTCTGGTCTTCCTCGGTAGACTGACCAAGTGAAGCTTGTCACGTGGCTTCTTTGAAGTGTGACATCAACACTGGGTCAAAGGTATCTGGTAGACGATGTTGGCCACCGTAGTGGTTCAATGTAGGGTGATGGGCCCTGATGTATATGGCTTCCTTCACCCCTCTCAGGAAATAGTCTTGTTCAGTGTCTAAAATCCTTACAGTGTCAAGTGAAACAAAATGTCCGGGTAACTCTATGTGGATGTGTTGAGACACCTCTGAACTGGCAGATCTAGGCCGTGTATGTTCTTGAAACCTGGCTTTTAGAGACCTCTCTGTTTCCCCAATGTACGTTTCCTGGCAGGTCCCTTGTTGTTTTTGCCCTGGCAGGGGATGTGGTAGATGACACCACACTTCTTCTCTTTGGGGGTTTTGTCCTTGGGTGCAACAAGAATGTGTCTTGTGACTGGTCGAAAGCTCTCGGTGAGAGAATTTTTTTTGTGTTGGACCAAAAGTTTTAACTTTAAACATGTAACTACCAACACAGATGAACTTTCAATTGGATGCCATTAGACATTGGGCAACTGGCCGTTATTAGAATTTCAATGGATCGTTGTTTGATCATACAAGTCGTTTCGTGTTTCATTGGCAAGTTTTGTATTTTTCTCCTTCTCCTTCTAGAACTGTGGACATTTAATAGTTGTTGTGTTGCCCCATGTTGCTATCTTATTTTCTTAATTAAATCAATGAGACTACATCTACATAAAACATCAAAAGTCGTTTGATATTTCGAATGTCGGACGACTCATGGAGGTATGATATCTCTGAACTCATGTTCCCTGTACGATGACACTGCCCTGGGCCAGAGTTCTGGATCTGCGTTTTTATAAAAGAGATTCTTCCGATACGAGTTGACGGCCTGCGGCGTAAAATGTGAACAATGGCGGCACAGCGAGGCTGGTGGAAAAATACAAGCGTGTGATTTGTGTTCTTGACAAAAATGGGGCGTTTTAAAGGTCGAGAAACTGTTAAATCAGCAGTTGTTGTGGCGTCGTGGGGAGTTAATGTCGACTTCAATCCACGACGCTGCTAACTTACCCCTAATTATCCTGCCCATGTCTCAGCCAAGTATCTGAGGAGACTCCCTCCGAAACAATTGCCAACTGAAAACACTCTTAGATTGTCTGCAAACCACCCTTCACTGTCACACAACCGACACTCGACCACAAGAACCGTACAGCCATTTAATCTAACATTGATACAACAAATGTGTTTTTTGGGGGGGGGGTTAAAAATTAACCCCTCTTTTCAGAATCATTGATTCGACAATAGGTTGGGACTTAATAAGGGGTTGACAGTTGACGGATAGAAGTCGTCGGAAGGGGACGGCGAGATCACTCTGAGCTCGTTTGAAAGGTGGAGACATGATCGTTGCGACAGATAGAACGTGGTCTAAAAAAACTGCGACCAACAATGGTTGGAGCAAGGGGGCCAGGTCGGGGCACGGTCCTGAATACGTGACAGGGACTCTAATGCAGAATGAGCAATCTTTTCTGTATCAGCCTTCAGGCCGTTTTTGTCTGCTAGGCCACAGCAAGTAAATCTTATGGATGACATCCTCCACAGACTCCAAATCTATTGCGAGCGAGCGAAAAAAACAAGACGGGCCGAAAAAAAAGAAGGTAACTACTACTTTTAAAATTTTGACATTTTTACAAATGGTTTTGATTCAGTGGGAACATCACATATACACAGTCAGCATCACATATCACTGCATCAAAGTAAGAAACAAAACATTTAATCAGGGCTTTTTCTTGTCTCCTCTCTTCATAGTTATCTACAATCCAACTTCCGGCATGGCAACAGATATTTTCGTCATGTTGAACACTGTCAAAAGGCAACAAAATTTCTTGTGTTTTTTTTTCGAAATCAGGCGAAAATTAATTCGCGCGCTGATGCCATCCATACATATTACTTAGTACTTGCTGTGGCCTTATCAGTAACTGTTGAAAATCAGGTGGGCCAGTCTGGAACTGCAAGTCACCGGCTACACTTCGTCTGGTAAGTCCACGGTTCAATATAGTAGTGCAGTGTTGCTAGAAGTCTTGAATTTAGGAATTATAAGTTTACCCTCGGCACTCGAGCTCTATACATGTACTAGTGTCGTGGCCTTGCGTTGTCAATGTCTTGTGTTAAGGAAATGGAAAAATACTCGCGGTAGTCGGTGAGTACGAAGCTAAGTGTAAAATGACTTCTTGCAGAGACGTATTTTTTTTTTAGTTTCTGTAATGATGAACGTAACGGATCCCCTGGAATTCGTTGACAAACTTAAAACCTCATGAAATGACGCCAAATTGGTTAGTGAAAAGCACTGGCCATGTCGGGTTTTGTGCTTGACTGTTTTCATTCAGAAAAGGAGCGCTGTCACGGGTGACTCAGATTAGTACAACCGCCAACCGACAATGTAAGTTGGAAAACGTTTCCCGGTACATGTAAGGTTTTTATGTTGTTGGCTATTTTACTATGATAATTTTCTAACTGAGAACACGACGCGTTGTTCACTTAACGTTAAATTTCACGTGCGTGGCTGTATGTTTGCCGGCGGTTATCATGACACGACTACGTAGGTAACAATAAGTCCTATCATACTGTTTATTGGGCTTAGATATAGATAGGAGTAACGATATGGTTAACTGACTTATTTACTGACGACCTTGAATCCTTCTTCAATCACGTCAGAATGGGAGTTGAGAAACAGTGGCCAGGCGGGTCTTGTGTTCGGTTTGACTGTTTGCAGTCAAAAAGGGGGAGTTGTCAAAGGTGACCAAATTTCGTACAACTGTTTAACAAGTATCTGAGGAGACTCCCTCCTAAACAATTGCGAACACAACTGAGAACATTATTAGATTGTCTGGAAACCACCCTTCACTGTCACACAACCGACACTCTATCACAAATACAAGAACCGTACAGCCATTTAATCTAACATTGACACAACAGATATGGACTTTTTGGGTTTAGAAAAAAGTAACCCCTCTTTTCAGAATCATTGATTTGACAATAGGTTGGGACTTAGTAAGGGGATGACGGTTTATGGGCAGAAGTTTGGGGGAGGGGGGCAAAATCACCCTGAGCTCGTTTGGAAACAGTGGAGACATTGTTGTTGCGAAAGATACGGCTTGGTCCAAAAAAACTGGTAAAACTGCAGTCAACAATGGTAAGTGCAAGGGGGTGAGGTTGGGGCACGGTCCTGAATGTGTGCAGAATGAGCAATCTTTTTCTGTATCAGCCTTCAGGCCGTTTTTGTCTGTTAGGCCACAGCAAGAAAATCTTATGGATGACATCCTCCACAGACAATGCGCAGAAAATAAAGGATCCCCTGGAATTCGTTGACAAACTTAAAACCTCATGAAATGACGCCAAATCGGTTAGTGAGAAGCACTGACCAGGCCGGGTTTTGTGTTCGACTGTTTTCATTCAAAAAAGGGGGCGTTGTCACGGGTGACTCAAGTTAGCACAGCCGCCAACCTACAATGTAAGTTGGGAAACGTTTTCCGGCACACGAAAGGTTTTTATGTTGTTGCCTATTTTACTTTGATAATTTTCTGAGAACACGATGCGTTGTTAACGTTAATTTTAACGTGCGTGGCTGTGTGTTTGCCGATCGTCAGCAAGGCACGAGTGTGTAGGTAACAATACGTCCTGTCATAGTGTTTATTGAGCTTCAAATAGGAGTAACGATATGGTTATCTGACTTATTTACTGACGACCTTAAATACACTTTAAATCACGTCAGAATGGGAGTTGTGAAGTAGTGGCCAGGCCGGGTCTTGTGTTTGGTCCCACTGTTTTCAGTCAAAAAGGGGGCGTTGTCACAGGTAACAAAAATTCGTACAACTGTTTAACTTCCCATAGGTTTACCGGTAAATCGAAGATTTTCTTTAATGTTATAACCTAAAGTTCCATTTACCAGCACTAAACACGTTTAATTGACGTTAAATCTAACATGTGCGGCTCTGGTAAATGTCCTTTTTTAATGTGTCGAGATACTAAAATGTTCTGTCAAATAAGTGACCTCTACGACTCTACTAAGAAAACTTAACCCCTTCAACTGGATGACTGCTATGAAACAACAGAATCTTCAGTATTTTGAAAAGTTCGGGTCTAGGATTAGACAGAGCTGCCAAGTCATGGTTTGAACGGGGCTTAACAGTAAGGTTGGAATATTAAATAGTAAATCGACAATATTCAACATGTTGAGGGGAACATATCGGCCAACAAGTCCGTACTAAAATTTTGACAAAGGAGGACAAATCGCGGAAGCTGATGTTTTTATGGCATAAACACTTGCTTAGCTAAATGATCAGATAGAACAGTGAGAATGAGACCGCCAAAATCTTTAGCTAACATTCGCTGCAAAATTGTTTCATAGAAGAGGCACCGTCGCTACATATAAACTTTAAGGCCTCGACTCGAGACTCAAAATAAACTGGTGAGGGTGCCCTGAGTAAAAAAAAAGATAACTGGGATATGTGGAAACTTGACAAACACAAGTACATAAAATATGCACAGCTGGAATTTCATAACCAGTGGGTACAATTATCGGTAAATAAAGGACGCTATCACAGGCTTTCCCCTGAAGGAAAAGTCGAGTCAGGAACAAAGGGAGAGGTAGCAAATCTAGACCACCGGTTGTGGATGGACACAATGGCCTCCCTTTGTGAACCTACTTGTCATACTCACCAAGCAGAGTTTAGCATGTTTTTAGGCTTTTTTTATCGACCACACGCCTCCTGCTGACTGTGCCTATTCATGCATCTGGTTCACACCTCCTTGCAGAGCGACTGTAATATGTTGAAGTGATTAGGTTTATGGTAGCCTGACTAGTCGCGCTCCTGGCGGCCGGCCGCCCCGAAGCTTGTGTAATACAGGCTAGGTTTATGGCACATTGAAGCTTTCGACTGCCGGCAGAGGTTGGGTTTGGTGGGGAAAAAATTCAGTGCAAAAGAGAAACCCCGATAAAAAAAGCCTAAAAACGAGCTAAAAAGAACCCCAAACGGTCTTCTCCCTGAAGAAAAGGATCCCGACGTTAAAAAGCAACCGTAGTGAAATGTGTGAAGCTGACTTAACGTAGCTGACTCTACTTCACTTGACGGCGCTCTCGCCACTCTCTCTGCGACCTGAAATTGGTACGGAGAGACGCCGAACTACAAGAAAAACCTGCTCAGGTGGAATTACTCCGGTGACCTTTCTGGGCTCTCTGCGTGACCAAACAGTCAAATGTCAGCAACTTTTATGGGCGATTAAAGATTTCACACCTCACTCAACGCATTACGGAAATGAAGAACGATTTTTTTTTTCACTTTTCCTGTGTTTTGTTGTTTTTAAAGTGATTCTTGTACACCTTGCATCATATCAAAATTATGCGACCTGGAGTTGGTGTGAGCGCACAAACACCGCAGTTCAGACTGCTCCCAACACAACAATGGTCAATACGGAGGGACGAGGTTTAGGGGCGGTCCTGAATGTGTGTCAGGGACTTAAACGAAGATTGGCCCATATATTATACTAGTTTGCATCTTTTCTAGTCAGCCTTCAGGCCGTTTTTGTCTATTATCAGTAACTGTTGAAAATCAGGTGGGTCAGTCTGGAACTGCAAGTCTTCGGCTACACTTCGTCTGGTAAGTCCACGGTTCAATATGAAATTGTAGTGAAGTGTTGCTAGAAGTCTGCATTGAGGAATTGTGATAACTTTACCCTGGGTATTCGGGAACAGGGCTCTACATGAACTAGTGTCATAGCAATGCGTTTGTGGCGGTTTAGCGCAAAAAAAATGGTAAAAGTACTCTGGGGATAGAAGGTGGGTATACGGGGTTCAGTATAAAGTGTTGTTAGAGAAATGTGTTTATTGAGATTTTGTAATGAGTGAGTTTTGGATACCCAGGGATGCTCTGACAAAGTTGAATCCTCCTGAAATTATGTAGAATAGGTGGTGAGAAGCACTAACTAGGCCTGGTTTTGTGTTCGACTATTTTCAGTCAAAAAGGGGGCGTTGTCATAGCCTCCTGTGCAGGCCCCGCGGTGGTGGAGAATAGTTTTTAACGCGTTATTTTAATATAGCCGGCCATCCTACATAGTCACTGAGAGGGCGAAATGGAACCACGGGGCGGAATAGAACCTTCTCTCGGCGGCTATGTAGGATGGCCGGCTATATTAAAATAATGCGTTAAAAACTCTTCCCCACCGCCGCGGGGCCTGCACAGGAGGCTAGCGTTGTCACAGGTAACTAAAATCCGTGCAACCGTACAGGAGGCACGAGCAGTTCAATTTCGAATAGGTTTCCCAGTACATTGAAGTTTTTTAAATGTTATTACCCACTTCACTTTGATAGTTTCAATTGTCTCTTCAAACTGAGAACACGGTGCATGGCTTGCGTGGGGTCGTGTGGCGTAGCGGCAGCGTTCTCGACTAGGAACCAGAGGCCCCGGGTTCGAGCCCTGACATGCCACCGATCTTGTGCCCTTGGGAAAGGCACTTTACACGGCTTTCCTCACTTCGCTCAGGTGAAAATGAGTATTGTATTGTCCATGTGTTGGTAGCGGCATTAATTTAAGTTGAAAAAAACTTGAGTGTGCCGTCACCACGTCTGGTGATTACATGTTTCGGATTATTAAGAAAAATCGTACAGGCGTGGCGTGTGTGTTAGCCGGCGGTCTTCAAGACATAAGCTAGTAGTAAAAAAAATCTGTCAAAGTTTCGAGCTTCTGAAAGCAGTCAGGATATACGTAACCTGGGAATTCACTAAAGAACTTAAATCCTTATGAAAAGACGCCCAAACGGATGTTGAGAAGCACTGGTCACGAGTCTTGTGGTCGACCGTTTTCATTAAAAGTGGGCGTTGTAACAGGTGACTAACCCGCACTGCAGTACAAGGCCGCACAACACAGTATTTATGGGCGAACCCCGTAGTTTCAAAAGTAGTCCGGGCACAAAGTAGTGCTGCACAATACTAGAGAAAGGTGCAGAGATTGTTCTGTGCGTGGCATCGAGATAGAACCTGTGGTAAATGTTAGAGGAATACGTCAGTTTTGAGACTGTAAAAGTTGAGTTATGGTGCGTGTTTAGTCGGCGTAGGTTTGCGCTTGGATACTTGTCCCGCCTAGCACTGTGCGTCGGCTGCAGTTCCATGACCTCCGCAGTGGCGCTAATAAAAGAGGGCGCGAGAAGAAAACTAGCCGGCAAATCTAAGCTCATTTTCACATATTTTGTACACTATACCCTGAAATTAAACATATGAAAATTCTGAACCTAACTTAAAAATGGGAGAGGAGAAACATTGGTCAGGTCTGATCTTGTTAACGACTGTTTCCAGTCAGAAAAGGGGGCGTTGTCACAGGTGATAAAAACAGCATGGGCAATTTGTAACGAATAACTTTCCTGTCACATTGAACTTGTTTTGTTAGTTTTTCATTACCCAATTTTGTTACTTTGACTGTTTCTAAACTGTTAACACGATGTGCGTTGTTTTGTTAGCGTTAAATCTTAACTCCGGTAAGCGTACTTTCTAAATGTGTCTACTCGCCAGTGTAGACTAAAATGTTGTACTAAATGAGCGAGCGCTACGTACTCATATCGATATGCGTCTATGCAAAGGTAACCCTCTTTCAACTGGATAATGGCGATTATAGGCCAAACAGCTGTTTCATCGGTGGACTACCATCTTAACTTTTGAAAAGCTCGAATCCCAGATTTAATTAGCCTGGGTGTCAGACGCTGGCGTTCATAAGCGATAGATATTTTTGTGGGAAGAAGCCCTAATGTCAGCTACAGTATCCGCCGCCCAAACTCCAGGCTGCCCCAAACCTTTTATTTCGAAGAAATATTAGAGCCAGGGCGCCAAATCGGGCTTGGCGGGGCGTATGGCGTATGGCGTATGGCGTATGGCGTATGGCGTATGGCTAAGATTTAATGAGATGTAAAGGCAAAAGTCTCAAAATGGAGATCGAGAACATTCTGTCTGTTTGCGAGAACGACCCACAGATCTGCCAACCAGGAAAGGAGTCCATTTCCTGACCGTTACCAGATTTTACTCGGCACTTTAAGCGCTGCCCGCCGCCTAGCTTCTTTTAAGCCTCCTTGGCAGACTTGTTGAGCGTCGGTGTTATTTTTTTCTGTGAGCGACGCGAGTAATATGCCGCGGAGGGACGCGATTTTGCTGCCAAGAGAGTTTTTGCCGTGCGAATCCTTCTCTCCTTCTTTTAGCACACACCGAGGTGTGGGTGCTTAAATCTAAATGCCAAGGGTCAGTCTCTATAGAACAAAGGGAAAGGTGGCAAATCTAGCCCAACTGTTGTGAATGGATAGCACGGTATTTGCCCCGAAGAAAAAGGACGTTAAAAACAAATGGAGAAAAATGTGTGAGCTGATGTGCGAATGTGTGAAAAATGTGTAAAGCCAAGGGGGTCGATTTAGTTAGTACTGTACGTTGCCAAGAAAATAGCCACGACAAGAAGCTTCGTTGTTGTTGTTCTTTTTTTCCTTATTAGGCCAAACGGGATTACTTTTATGGGCACCCGACATCCGCGCGCGCAATGATTTTCGCCTCTTCTCAAAAAAGAAAAAAAAAAAAAAAAAAAGATTACGTCCTCCGAGGTCCATGGTAGCAATTCCGCAAAAAAGCCAGCATGTGCCGGCTTTTAGGCGTGCCCTTACTTTTATCGCAGTTAGCCGAAGGGCACGCCACATTGACTCGCTGCACATTGGCACGCTTGTTTGGACAGACTGAAATGACAGGCAACAGAGACTGACGACCTTTTGTTTTCCTCAGCTCTGCTAGTCCGACATCTCCGACTGAACCATGCGCGCCATTAGCCTGACCCTGCTGCTCCTGGCGGCTGTTGCCTGTACTACAGCTGAAGACATGCCTGAAGACATCGCTGCAAACAACGCTGATGAAATGGTTTGTTTCTGATCCATTTGATAATAATTTATAGACACTTTACTTTTTTCTTGTTCTTAAACTGTCCGTTTTTGCGAGAAACGGTGATTTTTCTTCTCATTGGCAGGTGTATACATGTGAATTTACGCGATTTTGACGGAAAACCTGAAAATGATGTAATAAAACGTGACGACAGAGGGAGAGGTGTTATTGGCAAATTTGTATAATATCTAAGACGATCTGGAAAATCTAGAATTTTGCAATTATCTGAAATCTGGAGCGGAATAATTCTTGATTGGCGGAGAGAGGGTCAGACAGAGTGCAGAGACAATGGGGCATTATGTGGTGTCCTTGAATATGTGCAATGTGAGCAGGTAGGACATATAAAGATGACAAAATGGCTGCATGTACCGTACGTCCCTGGTGTCTGTTTCTCTCTCTTCTACGATTCTCATATCCTCCCCAAATCCTCGCTTTAGCACATTTCTATATGTGGTCGAATCATCAACTTTTTTTTAAGTTGTTCCGCCAAATTCACCAAATTCACTAAATACGTGTGAGGTCGTGTGGCGCAGTCGGTAGCACGTTCGGTTCACACCCAAGAGGTCCCGGGTTCGAATCCTGCCCATGTCACCGATCTTGTGCCCTTGGGAAAGGCACTTTACAAGACTTTCCTCACTTCACTCGTACCACAAGTACCTAGCTTCGGTTAGGAACGTCCCTCGGATAGGACGTTAAATGGAGGTCCCGTGTTTGGGGAGAGCCACACCCCAGGCACGCACGTTAAAGAACCCACCACACTTATCGAAAAGAGTACAGGACCTTCCCGGTGTGAGTGGTTCAAACCTTACATTCCGGTCTTACGCAGCTTATACATGTACGTACATGTACAAATCCGGTGTGTTACGCGTAGAGGCGATTTACCGGTTATGCGAAACAAACAAACAAACAAAACGTTACATCATAAGAGCCCGTCTACATGTACAGTTTCCATACATTCACGGAAGCCCAGAACATTTCCAGAGATGAAGGACACGAGAACCACAAATACGTCCTTTGTTTACACATACACATTTGAAAGATACGCAAAGAATTAAGTGGCATTTTATGACAGAGGAATAAAATCGTTCATTTTCCATCAACTTTTGTGATCTTAATATTCTTTTTGCTTATAATTTACAGGAAGGGTCCCTCATGGAGAGGCTGACTAAGCTGGTAAGTACTCTTACACAGCTTTCCTCACTTAACTCAAGTGAAATGAGTATTGTCCTGTCATGTATTTGTACATGACAGGACGATTGTGTTGGTGGTGGCATAAAATAAGTTAATATAACTTGAGGGTGCCGTCGCCATGTTGGAACGTTGGAATGTTGAATGTGAAATGTTGGAATATAAAAAAAAAACATTGGCCGAACTGTTAATTGTTATGAACAGTCAGATTGGTGTTATAGCTTCACCAGCTGATTTACCGCTGCAAAACACAGCTGATTTTCTTATTTTCTCTCATATGTGCACATCTCTAGATGGGTGACCTAGACGAGCTGAGTCAGAAATACCGCCGGTACAAGGGATACCACCCCTCCTTCAGAGGAGGTAGGACAACAGTTTTGCACTCAGGCCACACCAATTTAATTTCTTGTTTAACAGATTCGCCCGCTTCATTTTTTCTGATTTGCAAATAAAAATCAAAATTCAGAATCAACTGCAAAATGCTCATATTTTGCCCTGAACAGTTGAAAACAGTCCTTTTCTTCCTAGCTGTTACAGTTATTCCATCTTTCAATCCAGTGGTATCATTGAAAGTTCAAAATGCATTGTTTAAATTTTGAACCAGCCTGGTGTGTTGACTTCATGGCTCCTATCGTACCATTTTGGGCCATAATAGGATGCCTACACCTATTTTTTTCGCCCGCCCGCTCCATTATTTTTCTAGAAAAATCCGTTAGCCAAGAAATTAAATTGGTGTGGCCTAATAACAAATTGAACGTATCTCACTGTTAAAGGCATTTAAAGACATCCAATGCAATTCTTAGGGCTGCAAACCAAACAATATTTTGAACGAAGAAATCCGCCTAGTATTGACATTTGCTGTCATTTTGTAGCACATTGCATAATAAGTCTATACTTGAAGCCTTTGAAAAATGACAGAGACAAACTACGTGAGGCGTCTGTTTATTTTTTTGGAACAACCCGTTAGTACCTAGAACCAGCCTACGATACAAAACCTGCAACTACTCTCCTTCAGTGACATCACATTTTTGCCTTACATATAGCCAGTGTACACTGGTTGCCTTTAATGCCATTAGATGCGTTTGAAACGCTAAGACCAAAATATGAGATTTTGCATTAAATCAAAGAGAAGAACGTAATATAGAACATTTATCGATCTTTGAACACCATCGTGGCACTAGCAATACTAACAAAAACGCCCTGCACAAAGTGATAATACGTATGTGATTCTGATATAGAAATAAACAAACTCCAGTTCTTTCTGCTCAAACAATGAAACTACTAGTATTACCCTGGTTTTTAAACAAGCCTGTACAGTCTATACTGAAACATTATTCTTGTCACTCCCGGGACAAAAGTATTGTTATGGGTGACACTATAAGCTAATCCATGCTAGGTTTGTATGTTTGGGTTCCAAAGTGTGAGGGCGAAGATTGCTTTTATTTTGATTGACATGGATTGACCTGCTATACCCTTTGTTTAAGGTTGTGGTCGTATGATGAGTAATAATGCACTCTTTGATGTAATTGATAAACGCAAAGTATCAGCATGAAAGTTGATCTAAGTTGGTAAATTACATTATGAAAAATATAAACTGTTCTCGAACTCATAAATTTCACTTACGGGAATTTTCGACTGAATCACTCAGTCTTCCTCAGCTTTCTGACCCAAATGCTGCGGACACTTGATTTTTCCCACGTGTGACGTCAGCAAAGGATCAAAGGTTGTCTGAAGTCGATATCGCCCCCCGTCCCGGTTGAGCGAACTATATCTACTTCCTGAAAGTCTGACATCTTTGATTTCTTGTTCAATAGCGCTGAATGGTGTCCGGTACCTGGTCTTCAAATATGAGCGGACTTACGATGAAGCGAAGGAGGTGTGCCAGGGTTACGGCGGGACGCTGGCAGACATCAAGTCTGAGGCCATCCACAACTTCGTGGAGGGTCTGGTCCGCAAGGTCGACCCGCATAAGAGCTACTGGATCGGACTGAACGACATGGCGGTACGGAGTTGGTACAGAATACATACTCTCCAAGCAAAGGTTTGGGTTTTGGGGGTATTTTAGCGTGTTTTTAGGCTTTTTTATCGGGGTTTCTCTTTTGCACTGAATTTTTTCCCACCAAACCCAGAGGTAAAAATACCCCCAAAACCCAAACCTCTGCTTGGAGATCTAGAGTACAGAATACAAGCACACAAACATACAAACAAACAAACACGCAAACAAACAAACGCGCAAACAAACACGCAAACACACACACACATACACTTCCTCACACACATACAAACACGCACATACACACATGTATACATGTACTCACATAGGCACACGATGCATACGCGCATCTATGGCAATCACTCGAGATCTTTATTTTAAACCAGGTACATATTCATGTCTAGGTTGGCGTCGTGTGGCGTAGCTCTTATGATACACGCATATACACATACATATAGACACTCACGCACATATACATACATACGCACACACACACACACACACACACACACACATTTTGTTTCATTAAAAGTTCAAAATCTATTGTTTAAATCAATTATAAACCAGCCTGGTATGTTCACTTCATGGCTCATATTGTAATATTTATGGCTATCAGGGCCTGTTTTTTTTTCGCCCCGTCGATTCATATTTTTTTCTGAAAAAATCCGAGAAACAGCAAATTAAATTGGCGTGGCCTAAATAATTAAAATCAATCTAAGACAAAAAATACGATTACTTCGTTTAGTAGAAATACCATTCTAAGATTCAACCCTTGTTAGACAACGATCATTTTAGTCTGTTCTTTATTTGATTTCATGTTTTGTTTGTTTGTTTGTTACCTTCGCCAAGAAGGTTATGTTTTCAGTAGCGTTTGTCTGTTTGTTTGTGAACAGCATAACTCAAGAAGCTTAGTATGCATTGTTATGAAACTTGGTAGGTGCAAAGGTCTTGATGAGGCCTAGAAATGATTAGATTTTGGGCCCCTGGCGGCTTTTGTTGGTACTGCAGCAGAACTTCCGGTTTTGATATCTCGCGATCTGGACAAGCTAGGGTCACGAATTTTGGTTGGTACATAGCTCTTGGGATAGGGAAGAAGTGACATGAGTTTGGGCCCGCTAGCGGCTCCTTCTGGTTTGTTTTTTATTTTGTTTTGTTTTGTTTTGTTTTATTTCAGACTGAAGGAACCTGGGCCTGGTCTCGTGGTGAGACTGTGAGTGACTGTGGCTACACTAACTGGGCTCCTGGTCAGCCGGACAACTTCCTCTGGTCTCAGGACTGCGGCCGGATGTGGGACTGGGCCAACTTCAAATGGGACGACGCCAACTGCGCTGACAAGTACCACTTCGTCTGTCAGATCGGTCAGTACTCAGTAAAACGACGAGGTTCCCAAATATAACATTAGATAACATTATCAATACCGGTGACGGTGCAATACCTCAATTGGTAGAGTGCTCGCTTTGTAACCGGGAAGTCGTGACTTCAAACCCCGGCCGGGTCAGATCAAAGACTTTAGAAATGGTACACACTTCTTTCTCTGCTTAGCACTCAGCGCATATAAGAAAGAGTGTGAGAAGGTCAAACACACAGCACTACCAGCGGACTAGCCCCCTGCTGTAGTGCATTGCACAACGGTGTGTCGCCCAATGGCTACAGAAAAGGACATGGGCACCAAACCCTATGCTCTGCATAAGGGCACGGGAGACCATGGTGGCAATATATTCATGTTTAGTTAGCAAATAGTCCTTTTTATGGAACCCACATGAAGTCCATCAAATCGTTTCACGAATTTCCAACTGCCTTCATTGCTAATTGTAGACAATCAGGACAGACGAAAGTTTGTGAAGCAGTAAGGCCTGGCTGTTCTGTGTGTTGCACATAAAGTTTGAATATTGAATGAATGATCATTATTGCTCGACAGTTGTACATTGTACAATGTATGGCAAGGGTGACAATGCGATCTTTTTCAGCAATGGTTATGATGTTACCAAAACACCGCCTGGCGGTAGATAATGACATTGCAGACAGATTAAACCTGACGCGGTGAGGTATGTAATTGACAACACAAAGGAAACTGCGTCCTAATATTTTTTCTTTCTTTATCCCCTTCCCCAGGTCGCAGGATGACAAACCGCTGCTAAGGTAAGACTACATGAACCCTCTTCCTCGTTATGTTATACGTAGTAACTCTGGGAAGTTATGTGAAATTACCAGTACAATGTTTTGATAAGATAGTAGTGTAAATGATTTGCAAATGATTTGTAAATGATTTCCAGATTGTCCATCACAATTAACCCTACCTAGACCGGGGGGGGGGCTAAAAGTGCCCGCGGCAACTTTGATGTCACCTAGCGTCTGAACGGCTAGCCATAGAACAGCCAAACTTGGTGACTTTTCCTAGAATATTGTTGGCAACAATACTTAATCATTGGAATAACAAAATAATTTTTTGTGTTGCCATGGCAACGGGTTTCTGACAGGCATTTTTTGCTAAATTTAGTACTTTTTGTTTCAACAATAGAATTTTTGGGTTTTATGTCAAGTTACTCATGGTTTCTAATATCAATAACATCCCATATAATTTTATGTAAATTTTATCATTAAATATGCATAATTTATGCTAATTTGATGACGTCATTGGCCAAAATCCAAGATGGCGGACAATATCATTAGAACAGGTATATACAGGTTATTTTCATTAAAATTTCATCAATACTTCCATTTCTTTTTCCAAAAAAGGTTTGAATGAAGGTGTTTAGTATGTTAACAATGTATTTTAGGCTTTATCATGAAAAAAAAATATTTTTGAAAATTCAAGATTGATGATCCAAGATGGCGGATATCTTAAATATGCTTGACGTCATTTTATGACGTCACTGGTGTTGCTATGGGCAACATAAGACTTAGTACACCATAATATTCTGTCATAAACACTTTTGATACAGTTATGTTGAATACCATTTAGTTTTCAGGGAAAAACCTATTTAGACGGTTTTGGCCAATAAAATCACATTAATGACGTCATAATGACATCATATTACGTCATAACGACATAAAATTGTAGATATGATAAATTTTCACTAGTACACCATTCTCTGAAAATTTGGTGGTTATACGACATACCGTCCGCGAGTTCTTAGGGGGGGTCAAAGACACCCCCCCCGGTCCCCCATGTCAAAAAAAGCCCGGTCTAGGTAGGGTTAACCTAACTTAACATGACAATTAGCGGTCCGACCAATGAGAGAGTAGGCTAAATGTCGGTCAAATATTTGCATTTTGATGTTTTGACCGAGGTAGGTGGGACTACAAGAAATACCGATTGTGAAGGACAAATAAAATCAATTCATTTCGTTTATTTAACATTTTGTCTATTCTACATAGATAACCTGTGCCTTTATTGTCTGTTGTAGAGATGAGCGGATGAGCGGGCTGCACCGAGCAGTTTTCAACTGCCGAGACCTGATTTTTTTACGATTTATTAATACGTAACAGTAAAGTCTGTTGGTTTTAGAGAAATCAAGGGTGTAGCGCTATGGTGTATTAAACAAATAATAGTCATCAATGCTACATAATTACCACTCATTTAGTTAATACAAAAACTGGACAGAAAAAGCAATTATCACTTGCGCTAATGTCACAAGAACACAATAATATGGCTATAGTATGAACGATGATATTCATAACAATATATTTCTTTCGGGAACGCGTTTTGAACAGCGTTTTCTGCATTAGGCCACAGGAAGTAAATTTCATGGATCACATCCTCCGAAGACTGCAAATCTAATGAGGTTAGGCGAAAAACAAGGCTTGACAAAAAAAAGTTTCCTACATTGTACAAAATTTGACAATGTAGGAAACTTAAAAGTATGTACAAAGAAGTAAGTAAGCCTTGGCGACAACCATGGAATCACAAACAGCAGGTTTTTCATTCCGGTACTGCCTTCCTTGTAAGGTTTCGGTCACACTGTTAATCGTAGCTGCAAAACGATACTAATGTTGTAAACTCGAGAATCAATTGGAGAAGCGCATGGGAAGAAGTGGAAATGAAGACTCTATTATTCGCCATGCTAGACTCTTGTGTGTTTAGTCTTTTTTTCAACCTTCATGACTACGTAGATTTCATACTGAAGGCAACATTTTTGCCAAACATTTTTACTTCGTACGCTCACATCAGTTTTCAGGTTCCCAGAGGATGTCATCCATAAAATCAGGTTAACATGGCCTTAGTAAACAGCCTTCACCCTTGACACTAACCAAGCAGTCGTAGTTCTTAACCTCTTTATAACTTTTTTGTCACAACAGGTAGCATTTAAATGGATTCTCCCTGATATGTGGTGAAATTGGTTAAGTAAAAAAAAGGAACATAAGTTGGCTTTTTTTCTGAAATGTGACTCTTAAATACTTTCTGTACTGCGTTTTCAAAAAAACGACATATGGGCAAATAAAAGATGGTGAAAACTTCAAAATGCATGATTGTTGTTTTTGTGTATTTCATATACATTGTACATGTATCTATTGTTTTGTAAAAGGTAGATTTGATATTGTATTTGACATTTCATTCCCACATCGCTGTTTCTTTTGTTACAAAAATATCAATGCTACGACGTTTTCGATCTTATGGGCTATTTTTTTAATTGTTCACCAATATTAATACACGTTAAATTTTTGGTACTCTTACGGAGTACTACATAAATGAGGCCTTAACCAATCGCCGGGTTTGTGACATACGGATCTCTGATTTACCAAGGCCGAAGAAGGTAACACGATTCTCTAGCACTGAAATCTTCAAAACTGGAGCAGATGTGCCTTCGGGCAAACTGGACGTGATACACTTCGGCAGACACAGAGAAAGAACAGACTCATGCAGTCGGTCGGAGGTCATGCCACTCCTTTTGAAAGGTGTGGAAGGTCAAACAGGTGAGAAAAATGTGATGATAGATAGATAGATAGATAGATTGATTGATTGCAAAGTAAAAGGGGTCAAACCGGTAACAAAACTGTCTATAAATCTTTCAGTCCGTACATAGTATGCGCTGAAATAGTTTTTCCTTTCTTCTTCTCCTCTGTCTTCTCCCTCTGCAATTTCTTCAAATGGATTCAATCCCTTCATTTTTGGGCCAAATGAACTGCAATTGGTATAAGGGTAGAGTGGGGAAATACCCCCTGGCTTTTTTTCTTCATTTTTTAATGCAGGCTTTTAGAATTTTTTGTTTGCTGTTTTTGCCATTTTCTGTGGTAAGCTGTACATTTGGGGTCCTGAAATGCCGCTTAAATTGACGTCAGTTGAACCTAAGACTAAAACTAAAATTACAACGGATGCGGGAAAACATATCACTTTTGAAACCGATTTTATATAGATGATCGCGCTGAAAATATGCATGAAAGACTCCTCATTCAACAATGTGGGTTGCTACAACTGCCCTTTATTCTTCAACATTTCTAGTATAGTGGGGCAGATAACTGAAATAATCTTTCAAATTGTGATACAAGCACCAAACTTGGTACAAATACTCATGAGACATTACTCTTTTGAAAAAGTACGCGGGCCACTTGATTTGACTTTTGGCGCCCCCTAGCGCCGCTTTTTGGTACTGCAGCCGACCCTCTGGGCTTTGTATCTCCTTTTCTAAACATGCTACAGTCATGATTTTTATGGGGTGTTGAGATAACAAAGAAGTTACGTAAATTTGGTGTCTCTAGCAGCTTGCGTTAAAACTGCAGGGGCGTTTTTTGCCGGTGCACAATTTGCTCCAAGGGCGCTCTTTGGTACTGCAACCTACCAAAAAGTCGTCCTCTCTTTGGAGCAAATTGTGCACCGGCAAAAAACGCGCCTGCAGTTTTAATGCAAGCTGCTAGAGACACCAAATTTACGTCACTTCTTTGTTATCCCAACGGCTTACCACCACATAAAAATCATGACTGTAGCATGTTTAGAAAAGGAGATACAAAGCCCAGAGGGTCGGCTGCAGTACCAAAAAGCGGCGCTAGGGGGCGCCAAAAGTCAAATCAAGTGGCCCGCGTACTTTTTCAAAAGAGTAATGTCTCATGAGTATTTGTAACAAGTTTGGTGCTTGTATCACAATTTGAAAGATTATTTCAGTTATCTGCCCCACTATGACCTTTGACTTCTTAATTTCAATCCAACCCATCCACGCACTGCCCATCTATTCTGTACGGACAAACATCAAACAGATACACAAACCCACAGCTCACCAACTCAGACGATACTTCCATACCCTTATACGAATAATAGGATAAAGGCCTTTGATGTCAACATAAAATCTATCTTTACAAACTGTCCTGCCTTTTGTCGCAATAATTTGCATCGCTTTCTTTTTTCCGACATTGGTAGGGCTTAACACAGTTAACTTGTTTTCCAACATCGACATAATACTATTACATACAACCCATAAAATGCTTCAACTTAGTTTTTATCCTATGGGTGTAACCATATAAACTACTAACATATGAACCGTATAGTTTTATCAGGTCTGCAGACAAATCTGCCATAGACTTTATATCATAGACTTTATAGCAAAACAAATCCTTAGATTCCTACGGTGTTTCTGCTAGGACGAAGCATGACAAGCTCTGTCTGTTTCTGTTATTGCAAATGTTCAAAGATATTCCATTTTAAAGGAATGTTATCATCAGGCAAATGTCATGGGTGTCGGTTCTAAGGATGTGTGCTGACAATGTGTGTACTATTAACCTTACTGTAAAGATGATGATCTTATGCTTAGGTCACATTTGAAACGGCGCCCGTTCGGCATGTCCTCGGCGTAGACGCCGGCCGGCGTCATGACGCCGAGCGTGCGCCGTACTGTCAGGGTCACAATTAAATGTTCCTTTACGGCTCCCTGTCGGGGCCTGATTGTGCTCCGGTCGGCGGCTCTCATTAATATTCATAAACTTTTGCGGCCGGTTTCTGTCAGGGACCCGTCCGGTGCCCGGTCAGTCGCCCGTCTTGACCCGTGCGGCGTGTGGTAGGGTGCCGAACGGCTCTTACAGTTCGGCCGGGCAGCTGTCAGGTCCCTGGCGGGTTCCTGGCGGGATCCCGACGGGCTCCTCTCGTGTTTTTGAGCAGGTACATATATAAGCGCTGCACTGCCTGCTACCGTTCACTTCAAGTAAAGAGTACACGTCAAGTAAAGAGTACACTGAAGTTGGCGATGCAGCGTTCAGTGCAACCTGCAAACAACTTACAAGCCCGTCTGAGATTGAGATTGGTGACAACCTACAAGTAGGTCTTCTGGCATTGGTAGCTGAAGAAGAGAGGCAGGCAGAACTGGTGCGTCGCAAAAGTAACCGAGGGCCTAGTTTCGAAAGTACTTCAACAGTGACGCAGGAAGTACTTCAGCAGTGACGCAGGAAGTGTGCCGTGGCAGCTCCTTGCAATAAAACCACTGAATATCGTTACTTCTGTTGAAATTTGGACTGAAAATAAATGCCAATAACTTCTGATTCCATTTTATTACGAAGGCATATGATGTAACAAGAGATAATGTCAGACACATTCTATTCCTGTTATGATCTGTTTTATGAAGTTGGCAAGAGATCCGTGCCGGCTGTTTTCCCTTGCCCTTCGACATTCTGACACACAAATACAAGGTGTAACACACACAAGTACACGATGTAACACACACGTGGTGAACTGTGCGACGTAGTCTGAGGCAGGACTTTATATATGCTCCCTATAACCCCCTTTTCCTGACCATCTGATGCACTGATCAGCACATGTGACGTCATAATCTTAGGCAGGTGCCTGTTCGGCCGCCCGACGGGTCCCGGGCAGTGAGGTTACGGCGTCGCTTCGGCGTATTTCGCCGAACGGGGCCCGAAGTGTTTTTAACTCTGAGTTAAAATCGATTCGGCGACCGCGCGGGGCCAAAAATAGGCCGGCAGCCGTCGGGAAGCCCGCCGGTCTCCGTCCAGGTCCCGTTCGGTAGTGCCAAAAAACACACCGAACACGCGCCGAGCGGGCCCCTTTCTTGAATTGTGACCTAAGCATTAGACATGTAGCTCTGAGTGACAGCGAAATTAAAGGTGTTCAAAGGTGCAAAGACTCATCGGTAAATACAATGTCATGAAAGCGTGAGGACTTTCTAGTTCCTACAAGAATATCGTAATTTTGAAGAACATCACCATCAGCATTTTATACTTCTCATTATTCCATCATAAGTACAACTTGGGTTTCAGGCTAATTGCGTAAGTCAAGGATGACATGACTCAAATATTTAGTTACTATGAAGCACTTTATTGTTACACACCCAGCAAACAAATAAGTCAACCATTTCTGGGACTGTCACGACCAAACTGGTCGGAAAAGCACGTAGCACAACAAGCTATCTTTCAGAAAAAAAAAGCTAATGATTACACAATGTTCTGATTTTAAGAAATCAGTCAATTCATTTCATCAATGAAATTGACTGATATCCACGAATTTAGCCATATCATCATTCATTAAAATGGTAAGATCGAAAAAAAACTTCGTTCAGAAATAGTTTTGGAGTACTAACAGATCATGGGAACTGCAAATGGCACAACGATATTGGATGTAGCTAAAAATTGCGGGTTTGCCAAACGAGTACTCTCTAACACCTAGGGAGGCAGGTCCACCCCATACCATGGTAGTTATGGTTCCCGGTGCACTGGGTGTAGGTGGGCATGTTGCCGTACTGACCGGAAGGTGCGCAGTTGTACAGGAAGAAACAGCTGTCGCTCTGGGCGCAGCAGTCATAGCCGGAGGGTGGGTAACAATTGGCTTGGTACGAGCCACCTTGGTAGCTGCAAGGGTTAGAACGAGCAGCCAGGGACTGCCCACCCATGTTTGGAGGAGGGACCGGAGTTGTGCCGTTTTCACCTGTAAAACATGTTGATTTCAATGACAATAAGTGAATATAAACTATTGAACTGCGCCACCCCTATATTGGGCAGTTGGTTTTGTCCAGTAAATCAAGTAGGGATTACGTCATCGCATGACTGTCCGCCATGTTGGTTTGCCCTTTTTCAGATCACCATTTAAGTTGTGCTCGGCTGTGCCTTTTTTTGCTGAAATATTTGCTTAAAAATTGCTACCTGGCTTTGTTGGCGCTGAATGGTTGTAAGAAATAAGTGATGCAGAAAATAGCTTAGAACCCGCCGACTTTGAGATCTAGGGCAGAATTACTAAGTACAGGCAACTTAACCCTACCTAGACCGGGCTTTTTTTGACATGGGGGGAC